AGCTGTTGTTTGGCTTCGACCCGACTCCCCTTGGGTCAAGCTGAACACTGATGGCTCTTTCGATCGCCAAACCGGAGTTGCCGGAGGAGGAGGCTTGATCCGGGACCACAGCGGGGCCCTTATCACCGCCTTCCACACGTCCCTTCAGGCCTCCTCGAGCTACGATGCAGAGATTCAGGCTCTACAGATTGGCCTTCATCTCGCTGCCCACCTCTCTAGTCATATTTGGATCGAGCTGGACGCTGCGGCAGTCGTCACCATCCTGACCTCGGGCCACCAGGGCTCGTGGCAGATTCAGCACCCGCTTATGCGCATTAGAGCTCTCCTGCGGTCTGTCCATCACAGGATTACGCACATCTTCCGTGAGGGGAACAGACCTGCTGACTACCTTGCCAGTCTTGGTGCCACCACACTGGACCTACACACGTATCAGACCGACACCACTGCTCCACTCCACCTTCGCACGCTGGTACGGATGGACCAGCTTGGATATCCATCTTTCCGGTTTTAGTAGATTACATTTTGCTCTCTTCTGATCATACATTTATTCCGGGCACCTGTTAGCCCGACGACAGACCTTGTATTATTTCTTTTCTTTTTCTTTTTCTGTTTTTGTCTTCCTCTTGATTGTGAGACTATGTTGACTGTAGTTGTTTGATATTGGGCCCATTTTGGGGTCTTGATCTATGTACAGGTTGGGGATCCAGCCCAATCCCCCGCCCCCGGGGCGTTGTTTTAAAAAAAAAAAAAACCTAGCACCATCAGAAAACTAACCTAGCAACTACTAACCTAGCACCATCAGACAACTAACCTAGCATAATCATACAACTAACATAGCACAATCATACAACTAACCTAACACCATCAGAAAACTAACGTAGCAACTACTAACCTAGCACCATCAGACAACTAATCTAGCACAATCATACAACTAACCTAGCACAATCATACAACTAACCTAGCAACTACTAACCTAGCACCATCAGACAACTAACCTAGCACAATCATACAACTAACCTAGCACCATTAGAAAACTAACCTAGCACATCAGATACCTTCTGGTGGCGCTTCAGGGAAGGAAAGTCGCTTTGGGCTCAGTACCTTCGCGGCAAGTACTGCTCTAGACGCGCCAACCACCCTTGTTGGGTAACGGCGGTTGCGCACGATAGCAGACAGTGGCGGCGCCTTACTAGGGTTGGTAGGCGCGCCCAGGATCACATTTTTTGGGTTTTGGGGGATGGCGAGGTCAGTTTCTGGGATGAGTGGTGGTTAGGTGATAGGCCTTTGTCGAGGGATAGGCCGGTGTCGCATTCCCCCTACCTGCTTGTGAGCGACCTCTGGACGGACGGGTCGTGGGATAGGGGGAAGTTAGACAGGGAGTTGGGGTCTGGTGCGGGTTTTAGTGAGCATTTATTA